TAATACGTAAATTATATGTCCAAAACTTTCTAAAGACTTACGATTGTTAGGACGTACTCGTAATCTGATGCCAGCAGTGAAATTAATATAACTGGGATGCTATACCTGATTCAGAAAAATTGCCTATCCTTTTCTTGAAGCCAAATCTACTAGGAAGTTTTATCTGAATAAATGCATTAATACAAAGCTTTAAGTGCTTAAAACCTTTTCTGTAAATTTTAAGCGGGTTTTCAAAACTACGTTTTTCTGTTGACGAATTGACCGCGCTCTTCACATGCGTCAAACGACTGGGACTGGCCTTCAAATTTGGCCTCAAACACGTTGGTTGACATATACTCGTCTGTCATTTACATTCTGCCTCGCGATTTGTGATCCCAAAGTGCGATTTGTGATCCCAAATTAGTTTGATTTCAGACCAAAATTGCATGGCACGAAGTTCACTTTCCACTTTTTATATACATTTTGAAATCTAAAACATGTTTATAAACCGGAAATGATATCATGTTTCGCTCGCTATTTTTACCAAGGCCATTCCTCCCCCCACCCCTTCCTCTGATACTTCTCTAATTGCCGAAGCGTAACAACAACGACCAGGCTGAACTTTCGTTAAATCTGGATTTTTTTTGCAAAAAAATGAAAATAATTATGGATATTGTGAAGACTAACTTGACCAATGTAAATTTAAACATATTATAGGTTTGTAATTTCTTTGGGTTTTGGTGACTTTGGCGCGGTTGTCTGCTTTCAAACATCAATAAATTATACGATGTACAAATTTACCTTGTTTGGCATTTTCACCATGTTTCACAAAGATTATGTTCCTAATATAATTACTTGTGCAAATTTATTTAGAATTGTTTAACAGTTTAAGCTATCCTTTATTTGTTTTCATATGAAAAAAAATAAAATAAACGTTATCTCTGAAGTCTTGTTACAGATTTTTCATATCAAGCTTAACTCTTGAAATATTTTGAGGGTCCTGAAGGGGTAAAATGAGAACTGGGATTGATCTATTTTTAGACTGGGAAAATGGGATTTGGGTTGCTGGGATTGGGATTTGGCCACTGGGAATGGGAAATGAAGTCCTAAAAATGGGAATTGTTTTGAGGTAATGCGAGTCGATTCCCAATTTTTCTACGTTTTAAGTATTTAAAAATACAATTTTGATCCGCTTTTGGTGTCTTTGGTCATGATTTTTGTTGTTAACTATATTATTCACAGCACTACCTGCAAACAGGCATACTCTGGCGCCCGGAATTCTGGGTTTTCTGATTATGCGTGTCTCAGAATGCTACAAATTCCATTTCCGGGATTCAAATTTAAAAATTTTCCGTGCCTTCGGTACGAGCCCCCCTCCCCCCCCCCCATATTTCATAAAGTGTCCGCCACTCACGGTGGCTTAGGCTTAAAAGTCTTAAAACTGTTTATTCTACCGATAAATAAAGGGGTTTTTATTGACTGGGATTTCAATAACTCGGACTGGGATTTCTAATAAAAATCCAACTAGGACTGGTATTTTGCCAAAATTTCAGGTGGGAAATGGGATTGGGACCCCCTTCAGGACTCTCTATTTTGACTGAAAGCAATGAGCTGTCCGCCATCTTGGATCAATTCTTAACATCATTAACTATCGTTTTGTTGACGTCAAAAGTTGTTTAAAATTATTTTATTCAATTCGAAATTTGAAATACCAACAATGCAAGAACAAGTTTTGGGTTCATATTGATCATTGACTGTCGAGAAAAAAACTTGCGTGACCCCATTTGTGACGTCACGTAATACGCATTCCTCAATAATCCAAGATGGCGGACAGCTCATTCGTTAATTCCCTCGGTCAAATATTTCAAGAGTTAAGCTTGATATGAAAAATCTGTAACAAGATTTTAGAAATGATTTTAAACGTCCTTTCAAGTGAGACAATAAACATTTTTGTTGCCATTGTCATTTAAATGTTAAATGGCCGGCTAAAGTCACCACTTCAATAAAATTTATTGAAAAATGATGCGATTACTTGCGAGTAATTTTAGAATCCAATTGCAACTAATATGAATGCGATTTGTGCTAAAATTGCACCGCTATGAGCCAATCAGATTGCAGGTAACCCCATTTCGAGATGAATATAATAAGTCACAAAGGTAAGGTCTCTGATATATATTGTTATCTCGATAATATCTATATATAACCATTCAGCAGCTGACGCCAGGAGATGTGGCCTACTTGGAAATTGGTGATGTCAAAAATGCAATGAAAATAGTAAAGTAATTTTACTGGCGTGCGATTTTTCTTTCATTTTCCTACGTTTTTCTTATTTGATCAAGTAGCTATATATTTTAGGACTGGTTCAAAATGGTTTTGTTGTCTTTTAAACCTGCGTGTGCCACGGCGAACTATTCGAGCTAAAGGTTGTTCGTCTTGTTTTGGAGATTACTTTAATTTAATTTATCTTTATTTTAATATTATTTTATTTTTAAGTTTATTTTATTTTAATTTTCTGATTACTTTCGTAATCAAGAAATTGGCGTCACGGTATAATTGAAGTTTGTGACATACATGAATTTCCATTCCAATCACCGCTAATGCTTGATAATTTTCCTGAAATTATTCATCATTATTAATAACTACAGTGAAACACGCAATCTGATTGGTTAATACGGGTGCAGGATGAGACAATCCTGCACGGAAAATTTAAATGCCTTCCACGAAGTTTTGAAAATGTCGGACAACAAAAACATTTCAATGCTCGAAATAAACAATAATTAACAATTATATTCGTCAAAGGCGAATTAGTGATTGCCGGTGAATATTCACCGAGACGAAGTCGAGGTGAATATTCACCGTAATCACTGAGCCTGAGGCGAACAATTGTTTTAGTATAAATTTTTAACGAATAAGCAAAATATCCAAATATCATTTTAATTAAAATTTATTTATTTATTTATTAAAACGTATTTTAACACGGTAGCTAATCAACTAAAAAAATATTTACAAGGTTGCTTTTCATTGGGCCGCGTACTTACAGACAGTATAAGATATTACCACCCACCCTCCCCAAACGACCCTTATAATATTAGAAAGATATACAAAGTAACTCCAACTCCACTCGATGCGATTATGTAAAAATCATTCAGTAGCTTTTATTTCTTTCATTCCAAACTTTAGCAGCAGCATAACTGAAAGTTGTTTCGTTCATTGAATTTGTTTTTGGCTTCGACAATATCGATCAGTTTATTTTCGTTACTTCTTAATTCATATCGATCTGAATTGGATAGTTTAACACATGTCCCAAATGTTCTCGGGACATTGGCATGTAAGTGCTTTTGATACATATTTTAGTTGTTGCGCCTTCCTTCTTTCACCTAACGTTTTCCAAATGAATGTAGTTTCTTAAATTAAAATATCTATGGAGCGTTCATATGAGTCGCCAGTTATAACTCTTGCAGGTCGGTTTTGGAGTTTCTGTAGCGTGCCTCTTGAAGATTCGCCACAGTTACCACAAATCATCGAACAATAATCAAAGTATGGCTGGACTAAAGCTCGATAAAGATGTTTAAGAGTTTCCGTTGAAACGTATAGCTTTACACGATGCAACATGCCAATGCCCTTCGAAGATTAATATTTACTGATGTTCTCAATTTGATTAGTCCAGCACAGATGTTTGTCAACTAAAACGCCTAAGGTCTTTTTTGATTCCATCTCTTTTAACACTTTCCCATCAATAGAAACTGACTGATGTTTTGATAAAGATTACTTAACTTTTGACGCGTTCCAATGATCATGTATTCTGTTTTTTTTAGCATTTAGTGTTAATTAGTTTGAAAGAAGCCATTGATGAATATTTTCTAGTTCATTATTTAAATTAAGGAGTCTTCCACATTACATAGACTGGATGAACGCGCTGTTGCAGTAATATTAGTGTCATCAGCATACATTGTAGTGTGTGAGTTCTCCAAACAGTTAGGGAGATCATTAACATATAATCAAAAATAGAAGAGGACCAAGGTTTGACCCTTGTGGAACCCCACCATTTTTAACGTAGAATTGTTTTCTATTGTGCAAATACGATTTAAACCAGTCAATAGACCTTTCCCTTTATCAGTGAAATTTTGATCTAGATATGCCTGGACAAAAATTGCATCACAGCTTGAAAGAGCATCACAAAATTAGTAATATTCCGAAGTTTCGTTGCGAAATGTTGCAAAATGCGGACAAATATAGCCTTGCGAAGTTTGCCATTTTTCAGTCATTTTGCATTACAAACGGGAAATTGATAATCAGATGATCAAACTGATTATCAATTTCCCATTTGTAATACAAAATGACTGAAAAACGGCAAACTTCGCAAGGCTATATTATCCGCATTTTACAACATTTCGCAACGAAACTTCGGAATATTACTAATTTTGTGATGCTCTTTCAAGCTGGGATGAAAATTTTGTCCAGACTTGTCTAGATCAAATTTTCACTCAAAAGGGGAAAGGTCTATTCATTTGTTTTGAATTCCGTAATTAAATAACTTTTAATAGGATTTTATGATCAACTGTGTCAAATGCTTTGCATAGATCAAGGAAAAAGACACCGTTTATCATCCTGGCATCCATATTCAGTAACCATGAATCAGTATATTCTAAAAGAGCCGTTGTAGTTGATTGACCTTTTCGAAACCCAGACTGTCATGGGGTCAGGATATTGTTTTCAGTGAAAACATTAAAACATATTGAGTTGTGAACAAACAAGTTTCTCAAAAAGTTTTGCAATTATCGAGAGTATAGAAATAGGTCGATAACTACCTCAGTAGTAGGGAAACGCCGGTTCTGGCTCATTTTACAAAAAGACCAATTAACCGCTACTGCGCACCTCATACGCGCATCTGATGACGTCACTTCCGGTTTACCACAATCAGGCTTGCCCAGACTTGCCCTTCCGGTTTATAAAATCACGTGACCACCACGTGACCACCCCCCACCACTCCTCCCACAAACCCCACCACCCCCGCCTTGAGAATGCTTCCAGAAGTCTCGCCAAAGTCTTACCGAAGTCTTACCGAAGTCTCCCCAAAGCCCCACCAAAGCCTCCCCAAAGTCTCCCCAAAGCCCCACCAAAGCCTCCCCAAAGTCTCGTTCGCTTTCGAAGGTGCCATCGGAAACAGTTACGGGCCCGAAAAGGTCGGATTAACGGCACGAGACCAGGGTCCACTCCTACTAGAACTTGAGGATTGCTTGTCCTACGGAGTGAGCAAGAGCAACAAGTTCGGTAGGATCAGTTACTCCATCTCCCTAGCCCTGAGGGATAAAGAGGAGTTTGTGTCAGCCCAGAAACTGGTGGAAAAGGAGTCCGCCGATCACGTCGGTAACCCGGGTGAAAACATCATGAAATGTCTTTACCGGAAGGGCAGCACTCCGACCCTATACGTAAATATCGACGATGAAACGGAGATCTACCCTCCAAAAGGGGACGAACCCGTAGACCACAAGAAATATCAGGACAAGAGGTTCCGTCTTGAAGCAATCATCAAAATCGAGAGCAACTATGTGTCCAGCGATGTAACCTCCATCCAGGTGAAGCTGCATGAGGCAAACATATTGGAGGAAAAACCCAAAGCACCGAGGAAGAGACTTCTACGACGACGGGATTAATAGAATACAGAAATCAATTTTAATGTTCGTAAGAATATTAAAATTTCGGGTCTAGAGGACATCAATACCGCTGACGGGTAAGCTGTTTTTGTACTCAGCAGGCATAACCGATCGATCACTCCACCGTATTCTGAACAGATTTCCCATACCATAGGAACGGGCACGTAAGGACGGTATGGAAAACACCCACGACTCTGCGAAATCGACGGGTCGTCCCAAATTAATACTGAACTCCGGACCGTCCAGCGTGAAGTTGTTTATTTCCGCAAGCGTCGCATCCTCCGGTACGTTGAGGAAAACGACAACACCTATCGGAGGACCGGAAGGAATTGCGTTCACACCCATAATTATAGCGCCCGCTTCTCCTACGAGCCAGAACCTGGTGTCAACTTCCCAACCGGTTCCTTCGTTCAGATAGGTAAAACCGGCGTCGTTAAAGGATGTGTCTTCACATATTTCCGTTATGAACCCCATCATTTCTTGGGAACATTCGAAGTACAATTGGACTTTCCTGTAGGTATTCATTACCTTTTTATTATATAAAATAATTTAAAAAATTTTTAAAAAAAAACTGCTGACTCAACTTTCTTTATTCTTCCTTTTCCGGACAGCCTACCCTTGTACTGATCACGTCTTTTCCGACGGTAATTCCACCACTTAGTATTCCGATGAGCGGGATGTACGGTGTTACGTAACCGACGAGGTTTTTTATGTCTTTTCTAAGCAGATCGTTTTCCTCCAGTTCTTTTTTCATCCCTTCAGCATTCTTAACAGCTTCCAGCGCCTCCATGAGTTCGGAAAACTTGGTGATGATGACATCGGCTAGTTGGTTGTTTGTGTTTTCCAGACGTTGTCTTTCGTAGTCCCTGTATATGATTTCCAGCGTCTTTTCGGATGCTTTTTTGATATATTTTGTGGAGTACTTAATTTCACCCGCATCGATCAGTTTCAGTAGTTTTTCCCTTAGATCGCTTGCGACAGGTGTCTCAGGCTCTACAGATTCGAATATGGTTTCCGTTCCTTTATTTAATATGCGGAATAATTGTTTTGTGGGTATAAGGTCGACGTAATAGTATTTCCAACCTGGCGTAGTCGTTGTTTTTTAGCGTATTAATGATTTCCTTCCTTTCTTCTTTTTCCGTGTTTGCAAGGTAGTCGTTCAATATAATGTCCGTATCCTTTGCGCTCGGGTTGTAAAAGGTTACGAGTTTGGATATATTTTCCCTATAGGGTTTCGCAATGGACGTAAGTTGCTGAGTGATAACGATGGTTGAGATTCCCATGTTTCTAGCGCTAAATCCAAGTTTTACCAATTCGCTGGTCCTGTTTTTGACGGATTGGCTACTAGCACAGTCATCAAGAACGATCGATAAGGCTATTTGTTCCTTTTGCAAAATGCAAAACGTATTCTAAACACTGGTTTACATATAATCATCCTGCTTGCAGGGCATGGCTATAAAGTCCTTATCCATATTGTATTCCCAGTCCTGGTACGTTTTGTTCCATTCATATGTGGGACATATTAGAAATATGTACTCGAAGTGGTTTTTATAGTCGTTCTCCAACATTTCCAGTAGGTATTAGGTTTTTCCACATCTGGTCATTCCGAGAATGATCATGTTGAACGGTGTTTTCAGCGGTTACATCTTTTATTTAATTATAACTAATACCCTAAAGGGTCTTTTCGCTGAAGTTAATGAGTCCATCGGATAGCACAAAGATATAAAGTTTGTTCGTTCACTGCAACCAGGTATATCAATCATGTTTCGCTCGCTACTTTGGTTTAAATAAATGATTACAAAGCCCAGTCGAATTGTAA